AAATATTTTCTTTCTTTTCAACTGGAAGTACAAAAACATGTTAAAAACAAAATATGTAATTATCAAATGAGTCGGATTAATATGAAACAATCATAATCAATAATCGTCATGATGTTAAATATTGTTTTTAAACAAACTAATCAATTCGCGGAGAAATCAATCTTCAGATTTAATGGTTATCTCTAACGGGACCTCTGAGAGGACTACAGTGACCATCATGCATCAGTGAAACTCACCAAGTTGCCTGTTGAGGAGAAAACCGGCTACAAGAAGAAGAAACAAGAAAAACGACTTTAATACAAAACACAATAGATTTCACTTTGTTATATTGAAGCTTTCAATATTTTAATTCTTCTTTTTACTTCGTTAATCTACGATCTGCGGCCGCAGCGACCGAACAAACTGATGTTTGATCAACATTTACATCGACATGTAAATATTCACATATATAATACAATACAAATATTAATATTTAATAACCAAGATGTTTACTGTAAAGAATTTGTTCTTACGTTTGTCTCCTGGTTGGTCAGACTGGCAGCAGGAGAACTCTAACAACAACGACAACAACAAACACAACAACAACAACGACAACAACAACATCAGTTCTTTCACTTCGTCACCAGTCGAATCACATGACTCAGTGTCGCTGTGCAAACTCACAGTGCTCGGCGCGGCGACGCCCACGACCTCCAGTCTGACCTTTCCAGAAACACGGAGAGTGTCGACCCGCTCCAGCTCCTGTCGGTGTTTGTACTCCAACACATGCACTCCGTTCACAGCCACCTGCAGCGCCACACACAGTACTGAGAGTACTAGTACAGGTACTTACAGTATAAGTACCAGTAGGATGTTGCACCTTGTTAAGCTCTATGAGGCAGATTGTGATTTGTTGGCTATATGAATAAAATATGATTGATGACGTACAAGTACTTTCCCCACACAGAACTGTATACTATGCCACTATAAACTGTATTATGTATATCTAGCGTATAATACATTAAATCTGTACAGGAGAATAGTGCCTGTGTAGTTCCACAGATCCTCGCTTCTCTCTCTGAGCAGTACCAAGGTCAGGTTCTAGATAAAGGACCAACAGAACACTGTGTCTACGCTCAGGTTCGTTCATATTTAACAGTTTCAACAGGCTCATGTTTCTCTGATAGCGTTTGTATATTGTTGCACCTTCTGGTCTCCTTGATGCATCAAGTCTACATTAAACTCTTCTGCTGAGACATCAGCTGCTGCCTGAGTTCTTTCACCAGCTTCCAGAAAACTTCCAGAACACCATGATCCTGTACGTTCTATCAGTAAATGAATTTCACTTGTTAAACTCGTGAATGTACCTGAACGTGCGTTCTCACCTTGAATTTGTCTTTTAGGATGAGCACGATAAGCTCGAAGGCTCCCCCGGTGGTGAAGGGCATCTGGTACAGGATCTGCTCTCGGCCCCAGCGCTCCCTCTGCAGCGAGTTACACACAATACACGGAGACCTCAGGAACCTCGGGTTGAAGTGAAATGCTACGTCGGCCCTCGGCTTGACGCTGCTGCCACACGTGAAATCCACCTGGAACCTGTAAGACAAAGCAGAGGGACGAGAGACAACTTTTAGAAAAACACGATAATTAACAATTCATTTATTAAACTCAAATCAAATCAGGTCTTTGCTCCTCACAGCTGATTTCAACAATTAACATGAATAATAATGAAGAATTAACAGGAGCTGGTCCTGAGGCATCAGTGAACCTCTGTATGAACACATGAACCTTGAAACGCTCAGGCAACACAACACAGAGGTGGAACCACACGTCTTCAGTTCATGTCAATGAAACTTTAGATTCGTGCTTTTCAAGTTAGTTTTTGAGAAGTTCGAGCAGAAACCAAAACGTCTCGGTGTAAAACATTCACCTGTCAGCGTCTGACAGCACGGAGCCCTGAATGAGAACCATCTCCCCTGGAACCAAACCCCCCAGGAGGGTCCCAGCGAAGGGAATCACCTGCGGAGGAGAAACCATCAGGAACGTTTGAATGACTCGTCTTCGTCATAAGAACGTCAACAGAAGAAATCATCGATTCATCAAGTGATAACGAGCGTTTTCAAAACAATCAACACTGAGAATTAAAGCAGCTACACACACTGATCATTGTTAAAATGTAACAAAATATAAAAGAATACGCGTTCAAACATTTTGTTTTATCCGATCAAACGTTTTAAACTCAAAAAATAAAATGTATGATTTCAGATTTTAGACATCAAAGACT